AATCCGAGCTTACGTCACTTGTTGTCACGCAGTGTCGAGTTTCAGAGAAGATGAACATGTAGTCGGAGACAATTTTTCTCCTGTGGTTTGCTGCGGTTAAGCGGTTTTGACCTGTGTTCAAGTTCGATAAGATAAAGAGAAAAGAATTTAACAAAGATATTACATTATAATGCTCATCGATGTATTCATTATTCAATCTCTCTGGTGCGGAAAACCCAAGGTAATCTTAAAATTGTGCAAGTGATGTAATTTCATCAAGAATTTACATTTGCTTAACCATAATCTGCCTTTTTGTTCTGTCCGATGCGACCGTGCCTTGAATCGCTGAATGAATGAAAACTCCCATCTTAAATGTTGTTTGTCATGTAAGCTTTTAAAATTTGGCGCGACTCTGGCCTCCGTGACAGGAGAAAATTATTTAGTGTTAGAGGATCCCGTGAAAGCGTTGAAATGTATTCTCAAAAGTGTAAAGTTGGGGTATCACTGTTGCATCCTTGTGCCCGGCGGACACTGTAGATTGAGACTGAAAATGTTTTGCCCTGGTTTTCCCCAATGCTTGTTGAAAGAGCTCATTTGATGCAGATTGTTCGGGTTCATGCACGCCCGTTGTTTTCTTTGTTCAGGGTGAACAGAAATGGCTAATCTCCCTCATGTAATTGAAATAACTTTTCTTTTATAAGTATTTAGGCTTTTCCGTGTTGTAGATATCTATCTTGTTATGTTTTATGTAAATTAAAGGAGGTCATAAGCCAGTGTTCGAGATTGTTTTTGCCGGTCATGTTGACAGGGGAATTTTCGCTTTGAGGTCATGTCTTCTTTTTGACCGCGGTCAAAAAATTACCTGCCAGACAAATTTTAGCTCGGACCGGTCAAAATACAGTAAAAACTCCATGGTAAGAACCTGCATTTTCCAATAGCCTGAACAAGTTCTTAAAAAAATGTAGTTATTGGGTATTTTTTCTAAAGTAACATAGGTTCTTAATTTCTGAAGGAAAAAGTATTGTAAGTAAGAGTACTTAATCTTCAATGGGGTGTTGTCTACCAAAGAGATTCTTGAAGAGTTTTCTTTCAAGTGAAAAGAGGTTTTTCTTATAGATTTGAGAGAATATGAATGTCTTACAAATAAATATAATTGGGCTAAACAGGTTGTGAGGGGGTCTAACAGGCAAAATATAGCCTAAAAGGCTGGTGTATTGAAAAAATTGCATTTTGCAGTAACAGGAAATTAAGACAAAAAAATGTCCCCATAAATGCTCAAAAACTCCTTGTATTGCAAGATGGGGAAATAGTGAATTTTAGTACAATCATAATCATGTTATTACCCATTTTTGAGTGCAGTTATCAAGTTATGAAAGCAACATTTCTTTAAAAGACAATGAGCTAGACAATGTAAAAGTAGTTATTTCAATTTTCAGGGACTCAATGTTGCCAGCTAATTAAATCTAGACCAGACATAGTACATTGACCGGACATAATTTTAAGCCTTTGACGGTCAGTATTCTTTTCCTTGTGGATTAATTGCTTTTAAATCTAACAGTACCTATTAACTTGATTAAGAGCCAAGTATTTCATTCATTGGAGGGTACAGCGTATTAAATTCCCAGTGATACTGTCAGTCTCAGGTTGTGTACATTTTATTTGATTTCCCGCAAGAGTTAAAGCAGAAGTCACAACTTCTGGCTCTGAGTATTGTTCTGACGTTTGTTTTCTTTGAACAATAGGTGTATACATAAGTAATGTCAATGGGGCAAGGGAAAATCCTTACATCGGGCAACCTTTTTCCCAAGGTTCTCTCCTACCCGCCCTACGGAGCGAGAGAGAGAGACCCTGGAAAACGCTGGTCACGTGGCTCCAGAACAAAATTATTTCTTTTCACATATTTTTGTCTGGTTTATTCATGACGTTTGTTACGCCTCAAAATGTAATAATCGCCGCAAAATGTAATATTAACGCAAAATGTAATAAGAATCGCCGCAAAATGTAATACTAACGCAAAATGTAACAAAATTTTCAACGCAGAATGTAATAATCTTTCAACGCAAATTGTAATAACTTTTATAACGCATAATGTAATAACGCAAAATGTAATAATTTCCGAATAACGACTTGCATGCTATTTCAAAATCGGTATTGTTGCTCAGTCATCGGTAGTAGCGAATTCAGATCTTCAATTAAATTATAAGCTATTATTGTTATTGATATTAATATTACTATTAATATTATTAATAATATTAATATTACTCTTGCTATTAATTATTATTATTATTATTATTATTATTATTATTAATGGGACGTTTGTTTTCGCTGATTTGAACGTAATACAGGTCCCAAGACGGTGCCCGCCTAGCCGTCCCCTAAGCCAACATTTCGCCCTAAGTGAGAAATAAGTGTTAATGTTGGCTTAGGGGAGGGGTATGTGGACAGTATCCCATAATTATCCAAAAACTCTAACCCAAACCAAATTACCCATACACCCTCCCCCTCAAGTGGTCAAAAATGGTCGTCCCTAAAAAGACGAAATTGCGCACTTTTTATGGATCTCCCAGTTCAAGATTTGATGCCGTCAACTCTAAGCCAGTGGCGATTGCATTGCTGAGCAAATTCAAGGTATCGTTTAGCGTCGAATGCGTTCCCTGATATTGAGTCGGTCGGTCGGATTGAAAAAAAAACCTAAAAAACAAAATCACAAGAAGTGTCGGAATAGGAGGCCTTGGTACCCCAGGACGATGTTGAAAGTTAACGTTCACATATTTGGATTAACAAAATACACAATATACTGTAAAAAATGTTTATGTCTTTGTTCCTGTTTTTCTCTATGCTGTAACTATGCTCATTTTTCAGATTAAAAGAATTATGCTTTGATTATTGATTCTATTACTTGTTTTCGACAACAGCTATTTTATTTGACTGAATAAAATTCAACACCTGAAATTAAACCAAGTCTCTCAGTTGCTACAGTTTTGGTACAGTACAGCAAGCTCTTGCAGCCATTTTTGTCTCGTCACGCAACGCTCCTCCTCCCTTGTTGGGGAAGAGTGTTGCGTAGCTCAGCACAGAAGTAACATGACGTTTCAACCGTTATTTCATTAATAATAATAATAATAATAATAATGATAAAAAGAAGAAGAAGAAGAAGAAAATAGATATTATTACTATTATTAATATCAATATTGATACTACTACTAATAATAATTCACATGAAGATCTGGATCAGTTACTGATTACTGAGCCACAATACCGATTTTGAAATAGCATGCACGTCGTTATTTCGGAAATTATTACATTTTGCGTTATTACATTATGCGTTAGAAAAGTTATTACAATTTGCGTTGAAAGATTATTACATTTTGCGTTGAAAATTTTATTACATTTTGCGTCAATGTTATTACATCTCGCGTTAGTATTACATTTTGCGGCGAGTCTTATTACATTTTGCGGCGATTATAACATTTTGCGGCGTAACAACGTTCATGCAGTGATCGCAACAGCAAGATAGATTTGCTAACCCTACTACAACTATAACTGAAACTAAAGGAAATTTCTGCCTAAACAAAACTATCAGATAAACAAGTGAATTACCAGAGAAGGAATCAAAAACTAGTGTTGTCGCCGGTTTAACCGATGACACCAATCGCTAAAAATCTACGCTCTTGAGTTATACACAAGCGACCTAATTTTTTGGCTTTTTCTTGTTTAGGGCCAATATGAAAACTTTATTTAAAAACACATGTGGCTCAGTGATTTCTAAAAATCCTCTAAAGCATACCTTAACATCCAGAAAATTAATAAGGAACAAGAAATGGTTGGCAGTTGTGCAAGCCATATCATACGGTATTTTTTAACAAGGAAGCTACGGCTATCCTGATAATTATAAACGACGACAAAAAATGCAAAAACACAGAGCCTTGGCTAAAAATATTTTCTTTCAAGATTCTCTTTACCTCTTTCCATTTGAACAATAGCTAACAATCAGCCTGACTGTCCGAGCCACGTATTCCCTCTTCCTGTTGCTTCGATGCAGTTCGAGCTCGCGGGTGAGGAAAGCAACACTTGATACATTTTTTAGGCACCTTGCATAATAGTAGTCTTGAAAACACATACAGACACTGTACATTTGCTTTCTAAAGTGGCCTCCACAACATATAAAAGGCAATTCAAATCTAGTGCATTTTGGTACGAATACTACTACCAGGATACCTAAATTGTTTTTGACTGCACATAAAGAGATAATTATTTTTCCTAATTATAATTCATGATTAATAATTGATTGCTATGGTCACTCTGATTATTTGATGACTGATTTATGAAATCTCAGTCAATATCACCACTTAGAAAATGATTGTCAAGCCTTGTTGTATTATCTTAAGTTTGGAAAGTATATGGTGTATTTTCTTTTCAAATCAGGTTTTGAAAACACAAAAGATACAGCATTGTAATAATAATAATGCTTGTACAGTTACACAAGCAGTACTTAAGGGTGCAAAGAAACTCAGTTTTACAGTTTGACCTATTTGGGCAGGCTGTAGCTGGCATCTATTAGCCCAAGAGTCACAGCTTTTTTTGTTATGCTTCACCACTTCCTGCAATTGAATAGATAAAAAATTTAATACAATCCACCAGCCCCATACCTTGTATTAATTGTGTAGTTGGTAAATACAAATAATTCATTCACTAGAGAGGAGTTGGAAAGGGACACTCCTGTAGTAGAAAATGGCCCAGTTGAGGGAGCAAGCAACTCGCAGGGAACGCAGCAATCTCTTCCAGAAGAAAATAATTATAGCCAGTTAGAAGATGACCGTCTCATTGCTAGAGCAAGGGCAGTTCGTGTGGACTATGAGTTTGACAGGAGAAAAAGAAAGCGGCGAAACCAGAGACGAATATCAGAACAAGAGAAAAGGTTGCAAGAAGTTGTTGGAGATCTACCACCATCTCCACCAGCAGGTTCAAGTCAGCAAGAAGATAAGGCGTACAGTGCTATTCGTGCATTTGAGGTGGAGCAGATGACTTACGCATTCAGTTTTTGTGAGGTCTGCAAGGAACGACGACTGGAGTGCAAAGGCACAAGAAACATGTGTACTCGCTGCAGGAGAGATAAGAAGGTACCAAAAGTGTGGTCAGGTGAGAATAACATGGATCCAATGGCTGTTCCTGAGATTTTGTCTGACATGTCAGATGCTGAGCAGATGCTGATAGCCAGGCTAGCACCCACCGTGCATGTACACTTACTGAAGCATGGTGGTATCGCTTCAAAGGGGCATTGCATTGCATTCCCACAGGCTGTGCAAGAACCGGCAACTATTCTTCCACGACTACCGGCAGAGGTGGATATCATACACGTGAGAAGACAAGGAAAAGATGATACCCATAAGGACTTCAGGGTTAGAAGACACCGTGTTGAGCAAGCCCTTCGTTGGTTGAAGGACAACAATCCTGCTTATGCTGATGTTGTTATTGATGGCGCTCGCATAGAGAATTTACCGGAAGATGGTGAGTTGCCAAATTTGAGGACTGTTGAGTTCTCTGAAACAGAACGCACAGACGACCGAGGCCCTGCGCCACAACAATTGGATGCTGGGGATACAGACAGTACTGATGACTCAACAGTCTCTGGAATTATTCTTCCAGAGCCTGGAGTGAATGTGCAAGCACAAGTAGAAGCAGCCATAAATGAAGTTGTTTCTGAACCTCTGGAAGGTGAAGCTGGAGAAGCACAACGAAATGTGCAACGACCAGTGATCCCTTGGCCGACCACGGGCACAACACCAGCATCAGAGTTTACCACTCCCTACTTTTTTACGATGGCATTTCCTTGCTTGTTTCCCTATGGAAAGGGTGATTTCCACATAAACCGTCCGATGACGTGTCCCACACTGAATAACTGGGCAGAGCACCTGCTGTGGTACCAAGACGGAAGGTTTGCGAGGCATAAAGTTTGAAAGTTTGTTGTCCACAATATGATCATGAGGAAGCGTGCCCTGGAGCAGAGCCGGTTCTTTGTTGATCAGCAACTTGGTGACCCACACATAACTGTTGCAGACCTGCAAGAGCGACTTGCGAGAGGTGACACTTTTACCGACAAGTTGTTGTATTTTGGCGCAAATCTGCGTGGTACAGCTCAGTACTGGCGCGAGAGACGCAGAGAGCTTCGTGCCCTCGTGGAGTTCATGGTCAATGAGAAGCGTGGGTTGCCCTCATTTTTCATGACTGGAAGCTGTGCCGAGTTTTACTTTCCTCCTCTTAGAAGGCTACTGGAAGAGTACATCTTGCAGACCAAAGGCGAAGAAGTCAACCTTGCTGAAGATAGCAATGCCCGCTTCAAGGCAGTACAAGAAAATACTCATGTAGTGGTGAGTTACTTTGACCTGCGTACCCAGGCTTACCATGAGAAGGTACTGAAGCCGGTATTTGGTGTCTCTGATTATTGGTACCGCTATGAGTTTGCCAAGTCCCGCGGTCAAATTCATTGGCACCAACTCAGCTGGAGGGAAGACAGGTAACCACATCAGCTATTGCATGAAGCTCGTGAAGATGGTTGCGAAGGGGAAGAGTATGCAGCTAGACTTAGTCAGTGGGCAGATAAAACCTTTGCCATGACAGCATTACATCTAGCTGGCAATGATGAAGAAGGGCAGCCAAGAAAAGACCTCTGGTCACCACCTGAGGGAACAGCTGAGCCCATATCAGATGACAGGGATCCCTTAGTGAATATGCTAATGCAAAAAGCTGCAACACAAGAAGCAATACTGGAGGATCATTTGCTTTTAGTAAACAGGGTTGGACTCCACAGTTGCTCTGATTACTGCTTGAGAACTCCTCGCCATCCGGAGCAAGGACTGCAGCCTAGAGAACGTGTATGTCGGATGGAGTTTGGAAGTGAGTTCCGCCCAGGGAAAAAAGTGCACAGTAATCCGGAAATTGTGGAAGATCATAACGGAGCTCCCCGCCTAGAGATGCCACGTGACCATCCACGTGTGGTTCAGCATTCTCGTTATCAGTTACAATCATGGAGAGCAAATGGGGATGTAAGTTTGATTCTTTCCAATTCCCCTCCAGACAATCCTAGCACTGATGATATCATAGCCATAATTGACTATGTGTGTGGATATGCTTGCAAAGATAGCGAACCCACTGGTGCAACTTCTGATCTCTTTAAGGACATGGTAAATGCTGTTGATGCAGCTGATGCAGACCAAGTGACAGGTAAGTCAATGTGTGCTAAGATGCTGATAAAGACCGTGGGAAGACGAGATATCAGTGGACCGGAGGCATCCTTTGAGCTGAGTGGCCTAGCACTTTGGTGATGTAGCCGTCGATTTACCTATTTGTCCATGTCGGGGTCAAGGAGACTTGAACTTGATGGTGAAACTGCAACTCGCAGCACCCCACTGGATAAGTACCTTGCACGACCACGAGATGAGCACTGTTCTTGGTACCACTTTGAATCAAGGAACGGTAATGTCCCTGTTGTAAGTGGTGGTTCTACACATGCAATGTGGCCACTGAATGAGGACTACTGTAGGACTATGCTCCTGCTACACTGGCCAAGCTGGTTTGACATCCAAGAAGTGAAGGGGGATGCTGAATCTTGGATTGATCGCTTTAAGGACTTTTTTGCAAGTGATGACTGTCCAACATTTGTAAAGGCCCAAGTTGCTAAGGCCCGGCGTTATGCAGACCACCCACAAGAACCAGTATTTCAAGAGGATGAGGAAGATGATACTGTCGAAGCAGAAGAACAACCAGACTGGGTGGATGTATATGCAGGGCAGAACCAAATATATGAGGGTGTAGAGAGGGACTTTGATTATGATGATGGTAGGGAGGACTATGACTGGAGCAGTACCCGTATCATTCTTCCTGAAGGAGAAGACCCAACAAAATGGCTTCAAGAAAGTATTGAAGCATATGATGAACGGAAGACAGAAAGTGCAGACCTTGATTTACCTCAGGTGTGTCCATTATCTCTAAATGAAAATCAGAAAGCCATAGTGAGTCTAGTTTTGCACACCCTGTACAACTTTGTTGAAAACACTGAATATTACCATCCACTGTGGCTTGTTGTCTCTGGAACTGCTGGTACAGGAAAGTCTTATGTCATCAAGTGTCTCCAGAGGTTAGTGCGGCAAGTTTTTGAAGCCAATGATGCAATGCAGGTGATAACTCCAACGGGGAATGCTGCCTATCTCGTTCACGGCAGTACAGCTGACAGTTTTCTTGGAGTACCAACAGGTGGAAGGTCTTGCAATGAGTTGACTGTACCTACAGGTCCCTTACTAGAGACAACTGAGAAAAAGTGCGAAAATCTGAAAGTTCTGGTTGGTGATGAACGATCAGTGTTTGGACGCACAACAATGGGCTGGATGGAACAGCATGCACGTTATGCAATCAACAAAGGAGCCAATGCAGATGAGTTATGGGGAGGGATTCCTGTGGCATTGTTTATGAGAGATGATGTTCAGCTTCCTCCTGTGTGTGACACCTCCGTGTACATCTCAGATTGTCGTAGTGCACCATCTAACCACGGTCACTTGGTTTGGACAATGTTTGATAGTGCTGTTGAGCTTACTCAGATTATACGGCAGAATGAATCTGAACAACAGCTGAGAGACGTGCTGATGTCACTAAGAAATTATACGACAACACTCCAGCAAATCCATTGGCTACAACAGTTTCAATGGCACAATCTCCGCATGTCGCATGGCCCAGAACTCCTTGCTAGGATGGATGAGCAAGGTCTGTACGTATTTCCCACGCACCATCTTGAATAGCAGCGTAATAAAACAAAGCTGCTTGAGTGTAACAGACAGCCAAACCACCCAGTAGCAAAGATCCAGGCAGTTGACAATGGCAGACATGCAGTGAGGGCCGACAGTAATAAGGCAGGAGGATTGTTACCTCTACTGTATCTTTGCCGTGACAGCAAAGTCATGCTGGTAGTTAACTTAAAGGCTGATTGGGGTTTGTACAATGGGGCAGTAGGCGCAGTCGTAGATATTGTGTACAAAGATGGCCGCAGACCTACTGATGATCCTGCTCCTCTACCTGATGTAGTTCTGGTGAGGTTTCCAGGATATAGGGGGCCATCATACGTTAATGAAGATCCGACAGTTGTGCCAATTGTACCGGTAAGTCGTTCCACTGAATGCGCATGCCGATGCAAGCGTCTGCAGGTTCCATTGCGACTGGCATGGGGAACAACAATCCACAAATGCCAAGGGATGACTGTGGGCGCCGGAGAAGCATTCAGGTATGTAGTGGTTCACCCTGGGGACCATGGCTTTGAAGCCAGAAACCCAGGAGCTCTATTTGTGGCATTGTCAACAGCCAAATCGGCAGGTGGGGAAGGAAGAGATCCTGACTTTGCTTTTCATGAAGATGCACTGATAAACAGTGACAGATTCAGACCTTTGGACACTCCAACTACAAGAGCTAGAGCAGTGGAGATTGAGAGACTGCATGTCTTAGCAACTCAGAGTCGGCAGAGAAGGGTGTTAGCACCAGCATATAGGGAGGAAACCTTTGTCAGACTCGTAGAGTGGCCTCAGTCTCAAGAGCATCATTGAAACATGTGGTCTTAGTGTTGACAATTGGTTCAGAGGTGAAAGCCTTAGCATGGTGGTGTCTTGTTTGCAGTCATACCAATAAGATAGCCCTAATGCCTATGATGTGGTGATTTGTACTTATCCAAGCACGGCCAATAACAGTGCAGTTATGCTGTAATCAGCCTGTGTGGCTGAGGGCCTTAGTGACCATGCATGACAAATAAAAGTGCCATTATGCTGTAATTAGCCTCTGTGGCTGAGGGCCTTTGTGGCATGCATAACAAATAAAAGTGCCATTGTGCTGTAATCAGCCTGTGTGGCTTGAGGGCCTTTGAAGCCATGCATAACAAATAAAAGTGCCGTTATGCTGTAATTAGCCTGTGTGGCTGAGGGCCTTTGTGGCCATGCATAACAAATGAACTGGCTGTTGCTGTAATAAAACTGTGTGGACAAGGGTCTACTATGTGGCCACGCCTAACAAATAAAAAGGCTCTTAAGTTGAGATTGGGATTAGGGCTTGTGTTGAAAGGGATATTACTCCAAAAGCCAGTTTTCAGCAAAAAGTAAGTTCTTGGAATTATTTCATTTTAGCAATATTGTTTTGTCAAGTCTCCTTACTTCATTTAACGTACAGTAAAAACCTGCATGTTTGATGAACCTACTTTTTGAAATTCAGTGAACTCTCGCCTTGTGGACATCTTGCTATAAGGAACACCCTGATAATATGGACAGCAGCTAAATACCAAGCAAAAATAAATCACAGACGTTTGACTGAAATAAACGTCCGCTATTACGGACTATCACTAATGAAGACACTAACTCAAGCTCCTTATAGTGTCCACTTTAAAGGAAGTTGAATGTATGGCTAAATAGGTTCTTGTACTTTGGATAGTTATTGGCAATTAATATTGATGTATACTTAGTAAATTCTGGTTAAATTAGGTCCATTTTTCTCTATGAAAGATATAATATTATAGTCTTTAAGCAGCAGAAAAATAAATACCGTTTTTGCTTCAGTTCTAAAATCCATTAGCGTATCTCTATAGTTTATCATAGTTATAAAATAGCCTCCTTGATCTTTCTTGGTTTAAAACATGTAGGTTCTTGTATTATTGGTCATTAAAATGGATCATTTCTGCTCGTAGGTTTTTTAAGTAAACCACTACTTTTACATGCTGGTTTTTACTGTACTTGTAGTTCTCAAACTTCATTGCTCTTATCATTTCCTCAATTAAATGCTAATGACATTTGTTTTCACAATTTCTCTGCCAAAGGTAGGCAAAGTTCAGATATGCCAATTGTTACAGTTATGGGCTTAGTATCCTAGCCTTGAGTGAATGCACAGCTGAGGTTGACCTTTTTTGATACAAACCTGCTTCCTTTTCTTATGGAAATTATGCTTAAAAATACTAGTTAGCATAAAAACAACATAATTTACATAATCAAGCAGGAAGGGTCGTATGAGTACATTACAAGGTCAATTCCAACCTTGTTTTCACCCGTAATTGTAAAATGGACTATTTAAATAAAATTGTAAGCTTCATTTTGGAAAAGGGTGAAAGACATATTTTAAAATAGTACTACTTACAAAGAGCTTTCACCTGAATAGTCACACCATACAACATAGGATTTGTCTTCATAATCAAAAGGTAAATAATTATTAACTATCTTACAAGACTACATTGTTCACTTTGCAAGTGAAAGGGTTAATAGCATCCAGACCCAGTCCTTAATTGTATGTGCATTCTGTTGGCTCAGTATTTTTTAGGAAAAGCTTTTTTCCTTTTTCTTTAGTAGTAGTGTATTAGCTAGGTATGGTAAATTTAGAGATAATCAACAAGTTATTGAAGTCAAACATGTGATGATAAAAAACTATAGAGGTAATTGCATAGTTAGACTTAATTAGAACATCTATTTCTTGAAAAACCACACATGAGCTTCTGGATAGACTGTGCTGAACTGCTGAATAGATTCCATAAACAATATTTCACATTCATTGTCCTCGACTGTTGATTCTGTGAACAACTGTCAGATAAATACTACACCTTAACTGCTTATCCCCATGTAAACAGCTTCAATATAAAGTGAAGTCTATGCCTTTGTTCAAAGTGACTGGTGCCAATGGTATTAATGCAAAACAGGCTGGTGCTCCAGGTACGTCGTCATCGTTACCAAGATTAATCAAGTATGTATGCTACTATAACAGTTCTTTTAATCATCAGCTTGGAAGCTAGCCAACAGATTTTCCGTGTTTACGACAGATTCAAAATTATTTGAGGAGCATATACATACTGCAAATCAAAACCTCCATTATAAACTGCATTGGTCTTTCCCCAAGACACCCACAGCCAAAACTGAAATTGTCAGGCAAATTGACCAGATGCTGTAGAAATTGGAGAATGACCGTATGAATGGTTAGGTACAGTGAAAAACTTGCATCTATAACTGTGATGATCTTCTTCATATTCTGCAATTCCAGTATGTCTTGAATAACATACCAGATATAACTTTGTTGTGTGAATTCAACAAGGATAAATTAATCTTTCCTTGCTGGAAATCAGTTTAATTGATCATTGTCACTTTCCAAGTCATTATCAATGGCATTCCATAAGGTTCGATTCTTCGAGTGGTATTGTTTGTGGATTTACAAAATGATCTTCAACCCTATGCAACTAACAAGTCAACTGTTGAGTTTTATGATGATGGCACAGGTTTAAGCGAGTAATCGTCTCTGGCTTCTCCCATTACTCTGGAGAGCACTTTATAGAGAGAACATCACCAAGTCATACAAGATTGTTATCATCCTTCAAAAGCAAAATGGTTATCAGTATCTCAAGTACTGTCTCTGTCCTGTTCCCATTACATCACAACATCATTGAAAAGCATGTTGATGCCTTTTATTCAGCAGAAAGATACCTTTGCAAAATTGAAATATTTTACAGCATTACAACAGCTCAAATAATGGGAGCTGTTCTATAACTCAAGGATTAAATCAATAACATGATATTAGAGCTGCGTTTCTTGCTGCTGACCATCTGAAAACATCAACTGAATAGCAACCGATGCAGACATTAGAAAGAAGCAATGTTGAAAAGACTGAACTATTTATTACTAAATACATACTGACCACATACCAACATTGTCTTAATATATACCAGAGAAGCAATGGGGATAACTCATTAATTCATGGTAATCCTCACAACAAAAGCAGAGCGGCATACAAAATAGACAGAGGACCCACATAATCTTGTGTGCTAACTATACAAACAGGAGACAGATTGAGCATGCATTGCCTACGGAACGGTATTCCAGTAGATATAACGAAAAAGGGGTGTTCAGTCCCTTTTAAATAGACTTTAATAATGTTAATCACGTATAGCCATTTATCATAGTTTTAATCTTTGTTGCATATAGTCATTGTAACTTTTTTTATTCCAATAGTAAACTGTACTTAGCCTAGTAACAATTTTATTCTCCTTTCCTGTCACAGAAATAATCTGCAATTTGTTATAGATGGCCATAGACTTATCAGGGTTAACTGTTACCTTTTTAAAATAAAGTTTATTATTATTATTATTATTAATACAAGGTAGCCTTTTTGTTTTTAGCCCAGCGACACGAGTGAAGGTGGTCCCTTCATGAAATCTCCGCCTTCTTGAGCGGTTAATACGCGGCCAGTTCTGTTATGAGATCTTTAAAAATGCTGCGGGGGACTGGGAACCCTCATACATCACGTATTATACTGGGTAATGCTGTTAATACATGGTAATTCATTTGATGAATGGGAAATGAAAAGACGCTACACTTGCCAAAGCTTCTTTTGCTTTTGTTCTTAGTGCTTAGAAATGGACGTAATGTGTCAATGTTGCTTTGTGTACCAGTTGAATACAAAAAATTTCCTTTAATTTATTTGTAAAAAGCAGGGTGCAAAGAAAATCATTTTTACAGCTTGTCATTCGGGTGAGCTGAAGCTAGCATTTACTAGCCCAGACGTCATTTGAACTAGCCCCAAAGATTTTTGACAAGCAGAATTGATTTCACAGTTCTTCTGTTATTCGAATTCCTCAAAAAACATCAGTTGCCCATCGGGCAAGTTAAAAACAGAATTCACCGATCAGACACCACTTTCTTTGCACACTGAAAAGGTGCAGCTAAACAATGATGAATGTGCCATCCTGTCATTTGCTTTGCTTGGGCGATTAAGAAAAAAGAGTGATAGGTCATAATCTTCTAAGAAACAGTTGAAAAACATCTTGGTCTCTGACTGGTTTACATGTAGGCAAACAGCAACTTTCCATGTCACCAGATGAATCCATACTTGAGGTACGCTTTAAAACTGGAAAAACTGTTTGTTGTGAGAATTGAAGTTATAGTTAATTTAACCACCTGCTCCCTAAGGTTAGTGTATCATCAAATAAGGGTTTAAATTTCTTGCTTAAACCCACTTCCACCTCTCATGGGTGAAGGGTTGGATTTCAGTTGAAAGACGCATGTTGAAAGACGCATGTCCTCCTAGGTGTGTATCTCCTGCAAACTCACCAATGTTTCATAATTTCTGCAATGATAAAAAAAGGCCAATTGAGCATGAATAAATATGATGCCAAATAATTTGAAAAGGTTGCTGATTAAGAGGCCCTGCGCCTAAGAAACGACCGATGACTTCCGGCTAAAAAATAAAATCGGCCGATTTTTATCTCCCATGTAGAGGTTACCGAATACTATTCAAAAATGAATTTCTTTTGTTTCAGTTTCGCTTTAAACCAAAAATATCGAGCCTCAAACTTTTTCCGTCTGATAGCAGCAAAATCAGGCCTAAAATAAGCTCTCGCAAAAAAAGGTTCAGAAATCACTATCGCGACGCAAAACAACGAGAAAACCACACAGTGATGAAGAAAAAGGCCTTTTAATGCAATATCATTCGATAAACATCGAAAAACTGCCGAAGGGAATAAAAAATAAATTTTCAAATATTGCATATTAAATTAGATGGAGCGTTCGAGTTGATTTTAAAATAACAATTTCTCAAAAGTCCAACGCTGCTGAAAGCAATGACAGTGATGAATCAGACATTGGAGGGATATACATCACGTTTTCGGAAAAACATTTTTCGGCCAAAGTATACTGACGTTGTAAAAACCGTTCAAAGTTACCGTATTTACCGTTAAGTTGCTACTTCGTCGAAACACTTCTCTGTTGCCAATATGGCCAAGGATAGCGTGGTAAACGCCACTTTAAGCCTTGCTAGGCGCTCAAAACCATCCTAAATAGAAGTATATAGAATTAAAAGAGAAAGGAAAATGAAAGATTCGCAGAAAAAGAGAATAACTCGAAATTAGCATCTGCTAAGGAGGGTTGAATCTTGGAAATGTCGTCGCGTGACAGCGTTCATTTGTCCGAACTGCAGCGGGATCCAAACAAATACGTGAAATATAAGTTAAAAAAAAATAAAAAAGTCTTTCTATCACCAGAAATCGTGAAGTGAAACAGTTTTATGTATGATGAATTCAGCCTCAGCTAGTCTCCAAGTACTTTGAATGTGGGCTGCTTGTATTTCGTTACATACATTCCAACGGACGTTACGGGTCAGCGCGTGTAGGGGTCAGCGGACCTGAAGAAAGGTGACGAAGTTGGAGAGCATCGCCATGCTAGGGGGGACATTGGTAGGTACCCAATACCGAAAATAAATGCGCTATCGGTATTTCGTCGATTTTTGACACGGTATTTCGGTATTTACCAATTTTTCTCACGGTATTGCGGTATTTAATCAATTTAATTTAAATTCGCGTGGAAACGTGAGACGACCTCGAATTGATCGGTACAACGAACGAAAAAGATACCCTACCAATTTCATCACAGATTATCTGTCAGAAATTGTGTAATGGTAATCATTTATCATTAATCTAAAGTCTTAAAAATACTGACGTGCATTAAACTAGCCTGCGTGGCAGGCGCTTGGAAGTAGTGGGCACGAGAGAGAACGGGCGCGCGCGAGGGAGACACGCGAGGGGTCATCCAAACGCCTGCTACGCAGGCTAGCATTAAACAGGAGAGGGCAATGAACAGTACCGCAATACCGTGATCTTCTTTTACCGAATACCGTTAACCAAAAGGAAGAAATACCGCATACTGCAGAGCTAAATGATACTGCAATACCCCACTTTAAAATCCAAATTACCGAAATACCGCTTGAAAAAAAGCGCAATACCGTAAGCGCCCATTTCCCCCTCCATGCTGTTAAAGAGGTGATAGAATATTTGGGCTTAAAACATCCAATTATATTTGATGTTTACAATCTTTGTCATAATTATCACAGCAACAAACTTTCATCTTTCAATGTTAGTGTTGAAAGACATGTGCGGGCTTCGAAATACCTTAAAAATCTACAGATCTAAAAGAGACCTTTTAGCCAAGGTTTCAGTGTAAAGGAATGTGACTGAGTGCAGCAAATAATAATTTCATTCTGTAACTTTCCTGCGCAAGAGTTTGAGTGCATGGTATGCTGTCCAATCGGTAATGTGACAAGTTGTGCGTTATACATTGGTTATCATCTAAATATCATAAATATTGTTGTGGAACCAAATCATGAAGCATATTATAAAATGAAGTTGCAAAATGAGTGAGGCACTTTCATCGATTTAAAAGTCCTACCGGTCTCCTATATTTTTTTATGATGTCCTCCCCAGTATTTGGGTGACCCTATTAGGCGGAATGGCGGAATACTTGCAATCAGTTGTAAAATACGGAATAAACGTAATACTCTAAGACACGGAATTTACAGAATATTCTGTATTTGATTTGAACTGGACTGACGAAAAAGCAGAGCCAATATTAAAAATTCAATTTTCGTACAGCCGTAAGCCACACTATAGACCTTATGACGGTTTTGTAAGCCATCTTGACGGGTGAAGGGTCCGGTATCACGGGAATCTAATGTCGGATAACTTTCATAAAACGGCTGTTCTAAAAAAAAAGAATTGTAAACTTAAGCTTGACAGGATTGTACTACCAATTAATGGGGGCCGCACCTGTGCCTAAATTTGTCCGGTCCCTTGCTTTAGATTTTCCAGAGTCTTCAAAGTCTTCAAAGGAATGATCTCTTCTTCAAATTTTGTGGAGATTGCTCGGCTGGTTGTTCTTGCGAGGAAGGATCCAGGGACAAAACAAGTCCGTTTTCCAGTCTCCTTGATCCATTACCTTAATCGACTTGCACTTTGTTTTGACTGCGAGCTTTTTTAAGAAAGGTGAATATAAGGAAGGAAAGTTCCATCGACAAGGCGCCCAACAAGTTTCAAGGCAAGTCCCTCGCGTTAACTGAGCATTCACCGTC